TTTTTTTCCCTCTCTCTCTTTGTTTTTTTTTTGTCTTATGATGTTTCTTATGTCTCTGCTCCCTCCAATATATGAATGCCCAATGATGGTCAACACGTGTCCGCCTCTAGGCTACGGACTGCTAGCAAAATCTGGGTTGGGAACAGCTCTTGGAACCTGGAGCTCTTGTAATCAAAGCTGCTTTTACTTTCTCTGATTACAATCAATAGACCCGCACGCATGAAATCAAGGAATCGATTTCAACGAATTAACCCTAGGTCATCAACGTTGTGTGGTGGGAATGAATCGCCCGCGTGGTGATTTGCTTCGATGGGGACCAATGGAGATCACCCTATCCAAAGAAAAAAAAAATACAAAATGATCATACCTCAGCTCCAGAATGCCCAGTGTTCAGTGTCCACACCTCCTCTCCGAAACCGTTCATTCCGTCCGTCCTTCTCGTCCAGGAAATTGAGAAATAAAATAAAATAACATGATCTGTTGCAACAATCATCGTCAATTCCACAGTAATTGAAAGGATAGGCTCCAGTGGACCCAGCCCGACCCAAGGAATTGTTTGTTGCATCCCTTGAGATCTCCATCTGCGAATCTTCCCGTCTTTCCGCCTTCCGTCAGCCGTGGAACTTCACCTTGCGTCTCGTGTCCTTTTGACGCGCTTGACCAACCGTTTTTTTTTACTCCCTTCTTTTCTTTTTCATTTCCTTGTTTGTGTTATTGTTGTTATTGTGATTATTTGCCTCCCGGGCGGACCGGTCGGGAACCCAGAGAACCACATATTTCATAGTAATGAAATTAGGATAAATTGTATTGTATGTCTTGGTAATACTAGGGCGTAATTCTGGACGAAGAAGATATAGCTTTTCTCTATCAAATAATGGAAGTATTGGCAGTATTGAAGAAGTTTAAGGTAGTCCAGTCTGTAATCCAATCTAGAAGAAAAGAAAAGCATAACAATGATGATCTACAATCTGAATATTGAAAATAAATATCATGTGTATACAGTAGACTGACTCCCCGTACTCGCTCCCTTGCCTGTTTTCATCCAAAGAGTCAATCAACATCCCCTTTCCCTCCCCGTCCATCATTCCTCCCTTTCTCCTCCGTACCTTCGATTGCATTAACAGGAGAGTGGTCCTTGAACCTCATCGTCTGTGCCAGTCACCTGTCTCCAAGCCCTTGGGCTTCATTCTGATCCTATCCGTGACCATTACCTATTTGGTCATTGTATCACATCGGAGACGAGACGGGCTCTATTAGGGTTTCTGCGTAGGTCTGTCCATCGCCTGAGCTTCCCCATGTCAGGTCACATTACACTTTCCTCCCCTTCCCCCCTGCAGAAACCATGATATTTGCTGGTTCAGAATCATTGCCCGAGCGCAGTGCGCCCTTGTCTCTCTCTCTTCCTTCCTTCCTTTCTTTCTTTCTTTACAGCCTTCGGGTTCTAGCTTTTCTATGTCCCCGAGGGGAACAAAGAATGAGAAAAAAAGATCATAAGACGTTAAATAATAGAAAGAACCTGGAAATTAAGTAAGACCATTTGTTGAGGATTGGCTATTGTGCTTTCTGGAATGGGAGATGTTTGACCGATACTGACAGTGTGCATCACACTACTGCCAGGCGTCAGGGCACTACTATAGTATGCACTATCAAGATGGTTCTTTTTTTTTTTTTGCACTTACTGAATCCGTACACTACACTAGGCTTGGGGCTTGTTTATAACTGTTTTTATTTTATTTATTTTTTGAATTATTTTTATTCTTGTTTATTATCTTTCTTTTTGTCTTTTATCCACCCATTTTATGAATGGTATTTTGATTTCCATGCACTCTCCATTCGCGTTTGATTTATTTTTATTGATTTATTATTTTTTTATTTTCTGTATTCTTTTTTCACCCGCCTGCGGACCCATCCGAGCCCACCTGACTATTCTTATTCTTATTACTCCGTATCGCCATCTGATTATTATCATCATCGTTATTATGATGATTGTTAGCTGCACTCTGTATCTTTGGAACTTATAATACTGCCATTATTCCTGATACTCTGCTTTACCTACGACCGAGTCTCTCGTGGCTAATAATCTTCACGTCATAACCTGAATCTTCCGAGGTCCTTCTTTCCTTTTCCATTCAATACTCTCCACCTCTTTCCTTCCTTCCTTTTGTCACTTTACTACCTGTCCCTTTTTCAATTTCGTTTTTGATCCACTGTGGAATCATTCCTACTTTTGATTTTGTCTTCCCCCCTCTGTTGTTTCCTCAAATTCTGATCTAATTTTTCTCCGCCTCACTCTTCTCCACCGCTTCTCCCCGTCACCAACATCAACTTGCCTCCTTACCCTCTGCGTTGTTCAGCTTAATTTCCTCTTCTAAGGATTAGCTCTCGGGGTCTCTTGTAAATCCCCTGACGTTCCAACCGAACTCAGCGTGACCACGAGGCTATGCTAGCCTTGCAAATCACCCGACGGAAACTGGAATCGTTTCTCATTTGGGCTACTTTCTGACCGGCTTAGACTCCGCATCCCTCATCCTGGTCACCGTACACCCCTCGCCTCCCGTACCTCCCGTACATGCGAGCTTACCACAAACATACCCCCATACACTATCCTTACCGTTACAACCTACTTTCCATACGTACATACGTACATACATACGCCTTACCGCGGATTTCATTTGCTTTGGGTTTTTTTTCTTTTTCTTTTTTCTTTTTTTTCTTTTTCTTTTTTTTTTTTCCAATTCCACCATACGTACATACATCCTGCCATACAACACTACGCAGGTCTTCCCTTCAGTGACCAACGACACCAACAATCCTCCCCATCACTACCTCTCTCCCTCCGACTCCCACCACTTCCTCCCTCCGCCAACTCCAGACCCCTGTCCTCTCCATTGTCCTTGGCCAAACAACCTGCGGGACGTGACTCTCACATCATCCTGCATCCCGTCTCCCCCATCCCCCACCCCCCCGTCTCTATCCGTCTGTGCCTTAAGGAGCCTCCTTCGCCTCCCTCGTCTACAAATGTCCAGCAACCCCCACGATTTCGGTGACCCTAATCGACAGGGACAGTATCCGCTGCCTCAGTGGAACGCTAGTCAACCTGAGGATACCGCTCCTGCTCATTATCCACCGCCCTCTCAGTACCCTGTACGTCAGCTGATGATTTCCTTTGTCTTTCCCCTCCCCACACGCTCTGTCTATCAGATACCTTCTTGGGCTTCCCCGTCTACTTCACCCGCGGGCTCTCCCCTTGGCCTCCTCTTGTCATCGCGCCTTGTGGCAGACCTCATTGCGCCCCGTCAAATCCCTTTCTTGCTGACACAATTCCTTCGCTCCAGTATCCTCCTGCCTCATATCCTCCTCCGCCGTCAGATCATCCTTTCGCTCCACCCTCGTCGCAATACCCGCCGACCTCGAACATGGCCGCGATTCACCCGCCAGATCCTTATCGCCTTCCGCCGCCCCCCGGTGCCTATCGTGGCCCAGACGTATACGCCCAGGGTCCACCGCCACAAGTTGTCTACCAAGCTGCCGCTCCGCGGCAGCGGACCGCGATTGCTTGCCGTTACTGTCGCCGACGCAAGGTGAGTTTGTTGAATTGGACGGCTTCGCCTGATATGACATTGGATGGTGGTTGTTGACACCAGCGTTTGCGATTTGATAGATTCGGTGTTCCGGTTTCGAACATTCCCAGGATGGACGTTGCAGCAATTGCATCCGCTTTAACCAAGAGTGCATGTTCACTCCCGTCTCGTCGCAAGCGCAGGCGTTCGTTCCGGCCCATGCCGCCTACCCGCACTTGAGGACCGCCCAGAACTCTGGTCGTCCCAACGCGCAGGGTGTTGTGCTGTATGGTGCCCACGGGCAGCCCCTGCCTCCACAACAACAGCCCCAGCCGTCGCCGGATACGACTCTCCCCCCGCCGCCAGGACTGTACCAGCACCCAGGCTATGGTGGCGCTGCACCTCTTGGGTCTGTCCCGCCAGAACAAGTAAGTGTCCTGTTGTCGATTCCGTTGAAGAGGTATGGGTACTAACAGGGTGCACCAGCGATCGGGTGGTCGCCGCGGTTCTGGCTCTGGATTCGAATATCCTGACCCTACCAACCTCGCCCCAGTAACACCAGCCACATCAGCCTCGGGATATCAAACCCATCCGGCCCCGAGCCCGTACTACCCTCCTCCCCACGATCGCCGCCCTTCGCCTCAATCGGCCTACCCCTACGATAACCGTCATTCCTCCTCTCCCCACAGCTCGCCGTACCCTGCAGTACAACCAACCGCGATGACGCCTCCGCCTACATCCACCCCCACTGGATCGTCGCGCGGGGGACTGAATGTTCGCGACATGTTAAACCCCGGCGACGGCCAAGGTCGCTCGAGCACGGATAGCGACATGCTCAACGCCTTGAACCGACGAGGTTTGAATCAATAATTTTCGCGAACACAATATGACATGACTGGGGAAGAGAACGGCGCGGTTTAATGTGAGAAATGGGATTTTGAAGACATACGACGGACTGGCACGAATCGGTGGGAGGATTTGCAGGAACCGCCTCCAATTTCACGAGTCGACGGGGAACACACGATGTTTACGGGCCGCATTGCGCGCTGTGCTTTTCAACGACTACTGGGACAGACCCGAGTGACGCGGTGGGGAAGACGGAAGCAAAGAAAGATTTCAACAAACAGAGAGAAACCTCAAGCAATATTTCATCGAAGTGATGGTGAATACGGGATGTTTCGTCAAGCTTGTCTGGTGCTCTTTTGGCCATTCACAGTCGCGACGATAATTGCAAGGCCGAATTCCCGATCTGCTTACGTTTGCGGAAGCATGAGACGAAGGACTATGACACTGACAATCTATATTACGACCATGGAAACGACAACCAAGCGATACGAGCTACATGATCTGGGCCTGGATGCCGTCCTCACTGACTACGATCATGGTTCCCGGCACCGTCTCTGCCAATTCGGCGGCACGTGGTGGGACGACTGTCAGTGCGCGGCAGGCGATACCTTGCAACGACTTCAAATCTATTTCCTTTGCCGAATGACACATCACGACATTATAAACTATCCGGGGCAACCCGTTAATTGAAATTTCTCTTTCCTTTTTTTTGTTACCGTCTTTTGCGCCGTCACCTGGATCTCCTGGTCTTTTGCACCGCCGAATTCCGATTTTTCTTGCAATGCGAGGGGCTGCGCGATATCGATATCCGACAATGCGTATCAAAAATCTAAGCCCTAATTTTTCACGGCTCCACGCAAGATCTATTCTGGGATTTTTGTGAACTGAAGGCAGAATATTTATACAAACGCCTTTGTGAAGACCCGGAGGCAAGGGCGCACGAGCTGGGGTCTATCATGGCGTTGTCTGATGAGAAGCGCCTTGGTGGCTTTTATTTCGGGGTCGACAGCGCGAAGTTAGGTGGAAATTTGCTGTTTTCTCCCGGTTCGTTTCCTATATCCGTCTACGAGGTTTCTTTTTTCTCTTCTGTTCGGCGGTGGTTTGATCGTTTCCAATGTTCCAATACATTTCGGGTGGCTATCTGCTTTGCGTTCACGTTCACGTTTTCGTCTTTTGCCTTGTTTATTTTCCCCCTTGTTAACTGGTGAGGCATTCTTATCTATTACTATTATCGCGAAAAGGAGGTCATTTCTAGTTGATTTTATCTTCACGTGTTTCTTTCTTTTCTTTTTTCATACTGGGAGGCTGTCTGATCAAATTTTTTCTTGTTTTACTTTTTTTTTTTTTTTTTTTTTCCCCTCATGAATGGTGCAAGTTCCATCGTTTTGGCTTTGACTAATGTTGCACTGTCTATTGCATATTACCGATCTTCTCGGTCTACCTATTGGATTATGGTATGACGAGTTGAGAATTATTCGAACTGATCTGAGATCCGTAGGATATCTTCATTAGACGTCGACTTGTAAGGCGCATACACTGGGTAGTATGTCTTGTTTATTATCATATCGTCATGTTTACGCTGTGAGAGATATCCTAGGCGTGTACCTCAGTATCGAGCACGTATACTAGGTTTCTACTTAGACAAAGTAGGTACTATGTCGATATTGGTGCGCATGAATTGACATAAGACAGAGACAGCGTGATCAACGTAGTATGTATGTCACTATACGTACCTGTTTTCCTACTCTATTGTGAATTTCCTGCTGTAGACATCGCCGCTTTACTGAGGGCACTCGGGGGCTTGCTTAGTGAGTAATTCATATCACAGCTTCCGGCTCACTGAGCACTTAGTTGATGCTCAGTCTGTACTCAGTAAGCAGTCACATGAGTTATACCATACTCACTCCTATTGATATTCTTATGAGTAGTTTGACTGCTGTGCCAAATAAACAACCCTTAGGTTTTTTAAAGTTGTTAGATTACTATGAATAATAATGCAAGTCAAAATATAACTTAATAAAGAGTATCCAAACACATGTGCCAACCAAAAGTGAGTTGTATACTTGACATCAGTATAGAAAGGTCATTTTCAAGAAAGCTATACAGGCAGGCACAGACCTTAAAATGGGACGGATCCGGATCCAGGTCAGAACATCTTCTTTTGAGGTCTAGATATACCAGTTGTTTTTACCTTTTATTGTAGAGGAATATGTTTAGTATTTCACACACTGACTAATAGTAGTAAAAGCACAGATGAGTCACCTGTGACTTGTGCATGCACAGGTTACATGATGTAGAATGCCACGTGACCACTTCGCTTCTTTGTTCTTGTTTACTTCCCCTTTCCACTCAACTCAAATGCATCACTCTTCCTCTCCGCTATTTTCATCCTCAGCTCGAGAGACAATGTCGAGGAAATGACAAGAATATCAGCACACAGCCAGGAGGGGATATAATTAACCTTTCACGGCTAGCGCTTATCTGAAATAGTCTGCATGGACTTGATCTATTTGGTGGCAGTTTGACAGGCTAGTGTCCGTAGAACCGCTGCGTGTGATCTACCAGCACGCTATAGGGTGGTCAGTTCAGCGGGGTGCTTGACACGTATCAGCTAAGAAAAAGCAAGCATCCAGCTGAGAAAAATGCCATCCCTCCCAAATCCTGGACCCTCGTGCGTCCAGGGTGCTACACAGGAGTCTTCAACAGTTGACCAAAGACTGGGGTGACTGAATATGAGCGAAAACCAAGAAACAAGGATCTGCCTCGACCATGTATGGGAGCAGGCAAAGCAGCAGTTGGAAAATGCCGCAAGGGAGGCGGGCATACCGATGGTTTGCAAAACCCCCGCCGATTTCGAACGCGAAATGTCCGGCATAAGAAAAACTGAAAGTTCTCGTTCTCGCAAATACAAAGATAAATGCCTCACTCTGCTCAAGGCTTTCAACACCCTCGGCGAGCTCGCCGCAGGTGGTGCTGCGTTGGTATGCTGTATACTTCATCACACATTGTCTTCTGAAGACGTTTGCCAAAAGGCAACTAACAATATCAGGCATATCCCCCAGCAAGCGTGTGTTCTCAAGCGCTGTCAATTGTGATCGCTATACCCGACCGCATCCACAAGAATCACGAAACCATCGAGGCTGTCATTGGACAAATCCACCCGACTTTTGTTGAATTCGATATATTTAGGAACTTGCAGAGCCATGGACATATTTCAGATGCTATGTTGCAATGCATACGTGCGGCTTTGCTTGCCTTTGTTGAAATTTGCGCTGCATGCGTGCGGTCTGCTGCTAAGGGGAAGCTCACCCATTTCGGAAAGCATCTTAAATCGGTTATCACCAATGAGGACCCGCTGAAAGCGCAACTTGATGCTTTAGAGGGCCTGATCAAGGAAAAGGATAGAATCATGGATGTATCTATGTTCGCCGAGATTGTACAGACCGGAAGGAAGGCTGAATCCGCTTACGATGAAGCTAAAAGAGCAAGACTCAACACAGATGATTTTGCCAAGTCGGAAAAGAAGCGTCGGGACAGAGAGACATGGCAGCAGAATCTGGAGGTGATTGGGGTGAAGCTCTGCCTGACGCGGACCCCACAGGCCAGTCAGACTGATATTCTCGAGGAAAACGATAAGAAAGTGTCTTTCCAAAGTGAGTGGTATCGCCAACTTGACGATTACCAAAAGTGGGTGGACAACAGCGCCGAAAGCCCATTTTTGTTACTGGCCGGTGCAAAGGGGACGGGCAAAAGCTTCGCAGCCGCTTCGATCTTTTTCGACCTGACTAGGAAGGGAGAACGGGGTCTAGTCGGCTTTTACTCTTTCCCGGCAATGGGAGCCAAAACTACTTCGGACAGCCATCCGGCGCAAACTGCATTGAAATGTGTCGTCAACCAACTCGCAGAGAAAGACCCGCTTTTTGCGATCCACGCCCGTCGGATTTGTGACGGAAACGATCTTTCGACCGCCACATTCAGAGATTTGTGGAGCTGGTTCATACTGGACATTGGGCAGAGTAATATGGCGTTTTACCTCATTTTCGATGGCATGGACAATCTGGCGGAAGACCAAAGGAAGGAGCTGCTAGATGAATTCACTGCCATTCCGCACGCCCCAGGAATGGGACGTTCGACACGCATACTTGCTACTACATCAGAGGAAATCGGACACGTCAAATCTAGCCCTACGTTTCCCATAGTCACCATTACCAGCCATACGGGAGAGGAGATGAAGCGATATATAGAAAGAGAGTTTAAAAGAGCTGGTCTTCTGCAAGAAGATTACGAAGGACACCTGCAGAAAAAAGAGGAACTGTGTGTGTGGCTAAAAGACCAATCAAGGGGTAGCTTTCAAAAGGTTCAACAGGGGCTTGATGAGATCAGGGAAATTGTAGCGGCTGAGGATCATGACGCTTTGAACAGATTCTCAACCCAAACAAACATGGATACTTCTCGTCTCATGAAGGCCGAACTACTCAAGGCCCAGGAGTCACTAACTGCCAAGGAAATAGACGAACTCAATGAACTTTTGACATGGGTGGAGTACGGGAAGCTCTACTTTGATGTAGAGGATCTCAAGGCTATTCTGGTGAGTATCCCTGTGTATTGCCCTTTAACGAGTCAGATCTCCGGAACATACATTGCCTGAATGTGGATGGTTGTCACAGCCCCGTGACTAACCAAGCTCCATGGATAGTATCTGCGAACACGAAAGCTCCCACTGGGATCTCTTGAAAAGAAGATTCGTGAGCGCTATTCCAGCTTCCTTGAAATAAGCCCCAGTGGTGGTTTTCTTCACGTCGTGGAAGAAATGAAAGAGGTAGTTCTGAAGCAGAGAACAACATTGCGACACACACTAGAACGTCCCACGATTACGGCGAACATTTCGATCACCAACGCCAGCGTTGAAGTCGTACGACGCTTTTTCTGGGATATTACTAGCCATACATGGAGCACACCATTCAACTTTGACCATGAGCCGGACTTATCAAAATTGGACTTGAAAGAGATTCGACTTAATGAAATGGACTCCCATCTCCTGATAGTCAAGAGAGCATTCGACTTCCTCTTCGCCGAGCCGAGTCCGATGTCCAAGTCCATAGGGAGATATTTGATAAGTTATCTCCCAGGTCACTTGGCCGTTTTGTTGGTTGCTGAAGGGATGGACGCGATTGGCCACGAAGACAAGGAGTGGATCGGAGAGAGAATTAACAAGCTTTTCTTTGACAAAGGCATTGTTCGAAAACACTGGGATAGTTTTGCTGCTATTTATTGGCACTGGCAGGATCTGGAAATGTCCTACTTCTGGTCCTGGTTGAAGGATGAGACTGCGACGCAGCGAATCGGGATGCGAGACAAAGAATGGCTCGAAGAGGCGAAAGGAAGCTCGAACCCGAACCAAAGCCTGCTCAAACGCCTTATCACTGAGATTGCGCAAATATGGCTGAGGTCACAGGATACCACGCCTCTCCCAGCCTTTCAATGGATCAAAAACTATCTATCTTTTGTATGAGTGGATGCTGCCCAGCCTGAAGATTTGTGCATGTTCCGTCGCTAACTTGTATGAAAGAAACCCGGAGATGTTGGTGAGAGCGAAAATGAAAATCTCAAACAGAATGATCCAGAAACCGATGTGAGGAATATTCAAAGACGAGGGGGGATATTTGCTAACGCTAGTCAGATAGGAATCGAGGGAGACGCGAGTGAAAGTAATCATGTCCAGCAGGCAGAGAAATGGTGCAGCCATGTATTGGGGATACAGGATAACGATCGAGATTGCCTGTGGTTTAAGCGTCTTGCGGAGACCTATCAAGAACTACGCTGTTCCGATGAAGCCATTGAAAACTTTAAAAAAGTAAGTTCAAGAGCAGAGCAACGCAAAATCACGAAGAATAGAAAGAAAGACATCGAATCAAGAGGTTTAGGCCGCTTGTGTATTATTGTGGACAATACAATCTAAGACATTGCTGACCATGACTCTGATCAGGTCGATGCGATGGCCCAAGGTGACGAAAACACAGAGACTGCTATACGCATCAGCGCTTTGATATCTCTAGCCGCTCTGGAGCCGGACGCTGCCGTAGAGCATAGCACAAATGCCCTTGAGCTGGACCGTCACAGTGCAGATGCCAGATACTCTCTCTTTAGCATTTATTGTCTGAAGAACGAAAAAAACAAAGCGCAGGACTTGGTAATCGACACAGCTCAACTTACATTGTCAGGTGATGGCCCGAGTGACCTCAAGGGAGTAATTGAAAAAGCTGCCAGAAACGATGCCATCGACCATATGTCCAGATTGTTCGAAACTATTATTGTGGCCAGTGCACAGGACCCGGACCATTTCCGCCAACTCCTAAGTGACATGGATGGCGCCGCGCATGATTCTCGAAACCAAATACGGTATTATGAATTAGCAAATCTTCTTCTATACCGAGGTATAGCACTCGCACACTACGACTGCACTGAGCACGCGGACGCGGCGACTGTTGCTGTTAGGCATTGGCAAGAAGCTGCGTCCGTGATCATCGAGAAACTGTCAACACATTCCGGCCAAGCCAAGCTTCTTGGCGCAGTCAACCGGCAGTTGAGCTTCCATTACTTTCAGCTTCAAAGTCCAAACTCTGCCAAGTCATTGTGGGACGTGCTCCAATCGCAGAAGAATATTATTATGGAGATGTCGCCAGCCAAAGCCTACCTGGTGGCCCACTACCGTCGCGAAAGCTCAGAGAGCCAAAAGGCCAAAGAGCTACTTCGACCCCATGTGGAAATGGCGTTAAGATTGCTTTCAGACAACACCACCGATAACGATTGGCAGGGATACCTACTACTGAGTCGGGTCTATCTCTACTGGGGCCGCGAGGACTTTGGCAAATATGGATATATCCTCCGTCCACAGGAAATACTTAACGAAGACGCCCTAAGCCAATGGTTTCGGTATAACGAGATTTCAGAGGAGCTGGTGACTGGAATCCTTGGTTTCTATTCTGAGCGACCCTCGGATCAGCCTCTTCTCAATCAAATTGACTTCTTGTTGGACCGACTGTATGACAGTGACACCGAGTCTAATCGAGAGGCACGCAGGGCCGTCAGAGATTACTGGAACAGCATAGTAGATGGTTACCTTGAATATTATTGTGATAGTTGTGGATGCCGACTGTCTGAGGGCAATGCCATGTTTATGTGCAAGTTCTGCTTCGACATGGGATTTTGTGAGCCATGCAAAAACAAGATCCAAGGCCGAGAGATCAAGACCCACAAATGCCATGCGGAGCATGAGTGGGTCAAGCTTGGAATCTGGAACACGGAGCAGCAAATTCAGGCTGTCAAGAAGAGGTTCAAGCTGGAGGGCCCCCTTGGAGATTATGGAGATGTTGGCGATGAGGTGTCTGCGGTACAGTGGTTGAATTATCTGAGGGATACTTGGGAGTTTTCTGAGGATGCTTTCAAGTTTGAGTAACTGAGTGTGTAGTGGAATATCTGATGTTCACGACTATAAGAGGTCAGCACACGATCAAGGTTGAAAACCAGGAATGATATTTTTGCACGCATAGAGTCGACTGCTTTCTCTGCAATAAGACTCGTTAGATAGACCCAATTCACTATAAAGCACTGGATCTATCAAATATTCAACCGCGTTTCAATATATGGGGACCAGGCTGTAATAATATTGAATACAGACGCGATGATCATCCACAACTTAACCTCATTTGCACCAGTTTGTGCATACCTTAACCTTGGCGATTGAATCAAGTGAGCTGGCCAGCATGGCCCCCAGACAGAGGCTGATATTGCGGCTATACCTGACTGGCGCGGGGATATGTGCATTTGTGCATTTGTGTATTACTTCCTTTCTCCATTCATCTGCCAACTTCAATCCCCTCATCCCTCAACCTACCCACCACACCCACCAACGTGTCTTTCTGGTTTCCCACAGAGTTCGAAGAAGAATACCGAGCAGAGTCCATCCAGCTGCGACACGGCGCCCTCATCTTCAGCACCCTGGGTTCCATCCTCCTCATCACGCGACATGTTCACATCTACGCGATTCTGGTAACCCCCGAGCCACCCGCTACGCTCCATCGCAGAAACTTACCCATACCCAGTTCACCCTGCCGGTACTCTGGTCGATGGCAGACTCTGGTATACTTCTACAGAGAGTCCCGACAAATCCGATGCTCACCCTTGCCTTTGACTTTCTCTCGGCCACCTTCCTCGCCTGCAATGTCCCGTTCATGATGTTTACCGGGGTGTTGTATCTGAGTTTTATAACTTTTGTCATGACCCTTGCGCTTTTTCGCTGCTGTATATGTTCTCCTATGTTGCTGGGGTGCGTTTGTATCCGGTAGGTGACTGATTAGATGAGCTGTAGATGCCTCCACGAAGCGCTGTCGTTTCGCACGGGCGTGCAGTGTTGGGAGGAATCGCTGCTTGGGTTTGGGGGATTCCGCTTCCAACTTAGATGGTCGGTTGCTGAAATTATGTAGGAGATCTTTCTTGTGGGATTATCATTGGGTTATCGATTGCGTAGGTGGGGGGCTCAGCTCATTCAGTACGAATTCTTTAACCCGTGGTAGCTCGATTAGCTACAACTGGCTGTGCGAGGCACTTTTCCCAAGCGACGAAAGAACCTGTATCTGATATACGCTGATAGACCAACAGTGCAGAAAGATATGAAATTGGCTGTCAACCGTGAAAGCTCAAACATATCAGGCAATGAAATCAAAGAAATGAATATCGGTATAAGAGTTCAAAAACCGCGTCTCCCCATTCGGAGCCCTGATCACGTATGTCATTCACGTATGGCTACTCCGTCTGTCCTGTTTATCCTTGCTTCTTCTGTTCACATTCTTGTTGTCGTGACCCCGAGTTGACTCGGTTCTGGCGTCTATTGGTTTCAATCTAGGTTGGGAGGCTGTTGGCGGTATTGAAGTAAAATAGGAACTTATATTAAAGAACGGTCTAAGCTATTTATTACGAACATTTTGTTTATCAGGTAAAATTTGTCTCTCTGTAACAATCCCCCAGACATAAGCCATACATTAAAAACCTGAATCTACACCGGTTTGGCCCTGCATCTGCGCTATAACCAACATCTGTCCATTTCTGTCCGTGTTATCTACCTAGCTTAACGTGTATAAAGGGTCCAAGCAATATAATCTCCGTTCCATAGGAATGACCTCCATCTAGCTATTGGTCTGGCTCGTAGATAACCTTCCGATATAACACTAAGCCAAATATCCTTGCTGAGTACACTTTTGATGTAGTTCAGTGGTTGGTTGTAGGATTGCGATTGACGAAATTTGGTTGATAGTAAAGTGGGTGGAAGAGAGAGAATACTTACGCCTCGTAGCCCAAATCCATTCACTGGACAGAGATTCGGTCACGGTGCTGACATATCACAGGCTTTGAATAGCGTGAAATCGTCAATATTACCTATCCATCATGATATTGATACTCGCGAGTTGTGGCGGGGTGTTACCCCATGGTGAATGCATACATGGTACCTAGCGTCGAGTGACAGCATCATGAACATTGTTTACACCACCACCCGCCCGCCCATCGCCTATGTACGAACTGTTTGACTGACTAACTGCTTTCTTGCTTTCTTCACAGAGACAAACAAAGTACAAGGATATGAAGTATTAACATAACATAACATAACATAACATAACATGGACAGCATAATCGGGACAAGGGGTTGGCTGGTTAGTCCCATGGGGCTTGTAAGTGGAGGTGGATGGGTGGAGGTGAATTGAGAGTCAAGGATGGAAAGGTGTAGTGGTAGTTGTAGTTGTAGTAGGATAGGATATGATAGGACAAGTAGGAAGCCATGGATAATTTGGTCCGATTGATGTGAAGAGAAAAAAAAAAATTAATGACTCAATTCAGGTATCTTCGCAGTCCAACTGACTCGACTGGCTGGGAAATCAAACAAAAAAGAGAATAGAGAAACAGTACAGCTAATTGGAATGGTTTCACATCACAATCAATGGCACAGTAGAAGAAAAGAAAGAAGGAAGAAGCCCGAGGACAAGGCTGCTAGCAAGAAAGAGAATCAAACAGTAGAAGAAAAGTAAGAGGGACGGTGCGGAGATGCCAACTAATGGGATGATGGTAGAAGAGGATGACTACCCAAATTTCACAAACAAAGTGCACGATGGACAGGAAACTTGATACCCAAACCCTTGGCCAGAAATCATACAAAGCCGATAAGGAAGCAGAACATCGAGTTACCCAGACTCGTGGCCAAGTGCGTTTGCCCCCCACACTGCAGCAGTCAGGGGGGGGGAAGAGACAAAGAAAGCGATGATGGAACTCGCTACCACCTCAATGGAGAAAATGAAAGATATGTATGTATGCGGTGACAAATCCATAACCCACAACAGCCCTAACTAAAGGAGCCTTTCCATCAACATTCGGTACCGCCCGCCAAAAAGTTAAGTAGATAGATGGATAAATAGATAGATAGATAGATTGAATACCTGGTTGTGATTCACACCAACTGTGATTAAACGATTGTAGGAAGAGGACTTGCAGTTCTTTTTAACTGGGATCAAAGATTCATTTGCTGAGTGGAATAGAATGGATACCATGGGCGATTATGGACGGGCTGGCTGAAGGTGTAACCAGGTAAGGTACTCTTGGGTGGAGCTTGGGGTGGAAGAGGTTGGTGGAGGGTCTGTCGGAAGGGGGTACTTGGTTGATTCGTTGGTTGGGTATGAAGGAGTGGATAAAGGATGGATGGATGGACGACGAGTGAACAATGTGTGTTGAATGGAATAGCATAGGATGAACTGGACTGGATGTAGAGGGGTTGATGGGTGCTATGCGTAGGTGATTTCGAGGATGAGTATCGAACGACGAGGAAGGGGAAAAGGGGGGCTGAAAGTTACAGAAATCAAATCAAATCAGACAAGAAGATTGAAAGGAGAGGTGTGAAGTGATATTGAATATTATTTGTCTGAATTCAAGTAGGTCACTGGTTACTATTAGGTGTATCTAGTACCAGTGCCAGGTGTAGGATGAAGAAAGCGTGAGAGTATACCAAGACATGGGTAAGGAAAGAAGGAAGGGAAGGGAGAAAGTGACAAGGGGTGAAGATGGAAAGAAAGCAATACACCACCATAATATTAATCAGAGAGAAAGAAAACAGTAGGATGGAAGAAGTAAAAAGAAATACCATCACAGAAGTGATCAGAGAAAGAAACAATAGACAATAAGAACAGTAGGTAAGAACAGTAGGAGACGAGAAGGTACACGCTGATCAGAAAGTTCGAAGGAGATAGATGATGAAGTATCAAACATAATGAGAATAAATCAAGAATCCGGAAAAGCATCAAGTACATGGGCCATCTTCTTCGCCCTCGCAGGATCCTCAACCAGCATCCCCCGCTGCTTCATCACCACGCAGATAGTATCAACGACCTTATGGAACGACGACGCCGCGCCGTGTTCCTGTTTGAAGCGGATAACGCTCAGGTTTGCCTCACGGCCGTGCTCCAGCACCGTGCAGAACTCCGCTGAGAACTCGACGGGGCGGAGGCGGGGGACTGATACATTGTCAGTTGCTACTGCTTTACTTCTGTGTTGTGGAAGAAGGGGGGGAGGGAATATCTTACAGTTCACTTCTCCCACTTTGGCATAGATAACGCTGTTGGCCTTGTCCAGGAGCACGTATTCAAGTCCATACTGCTTCCAGTCCCGGAGGATCTTGTACACGTCTTTGCGGCCTTTCATCTTCGACGTGTTGAGGGCTACTACGCGCGTGGCGGGCTTGAACTGGAAGAGGCGCGCGAAAACGTTCTGGTTTTTGCCTTGTGCGTGCGGTAGGCGTGGGAGGGGCTTCTCGGTGTTTCTGGTGTCTGTGGAGGATGCCCTGTCTGCTGGGGACGTAGCTGTCTGGCTGGAGTCTGTCGGCTGGGGGTCTAGGGATGGTTAGCGTTGTGTGATACAATTAGATTTGAGGAATGGTTGTGTCTGACCGATTGGAAACTCCTGGGGAGGACTCTTCTTGAGCCGCCGTTTCATCAACCGCTTCAGGAGACTGGGTTTGTGTTTCTTGCTGGTTTCCTCGTCGTTTGACGGGGTTTCCGACTGCGTTGATGGATCGTCCGCGGTTGACTCAATTTGGCGGACGACGACAGTTGCCGTACTTGGTTGCAAGGGTTTGACTTCGGTTGATGTGTTGTTGTCGGTCTCCGTAGAGGTCTGGGTCCAGTTGCGCAGCCAGGACCACTTCTTGTACCCGGACTGTCGGACGTCATTCTGTCGGGGAATCTCATCGTTTTGATGGCTAGGGCCCAGTTCGGCAGGGTTGCCGTTGGCACCTTGCTGGGGAACGGAAGGTGGAGATAAACTGGGGGGATGACCGCTAGAAGTATTCGGAAGTAAGGGCGTCTCTGCTTCACTGTCATAAGTGTCGCGCTTTTTGCGGATATTCAGAGGCTTGATGTCGCCGATGGACAGGAACGAGCTCTGCGGGACCATCCGCACGGTCTTCTTATTTCCCCGGGTGGGGGTGGGAGTACTTGGGTGCTTGCGGACGGTCGACTCGGAGGCCGTTCTTTGCTCGACCTCTCTAGCGCTGGGAGTGGCATGTCTAGGATCGGCGTTAGGGTTCATCTCTTCGGATATTATGGGAAGACAGTTGGTGTCGGATGGCGGATTGGCAAACGGATCGGTCAAGGGCGTCGTCTTGTCATCTGTGGTGTCGGGCTTCTGCCGCTGTCTGAGCTTATCCTGCTCGATCAAACGACCAAGGTGAGCGACCACGGGTACCAAGTAGGCAGGGATATCCTCGCAACCATCCTGGGTGGCGTGTTCGATCAGTCTGCGGCGAGTCTCTTCCAGTTCCGCTGCCCTGTACAACGTATTTGCCGGCGTAGGGCCAACACACTGTCGTTTGACTGAATTGGAAGCAATGTGTCGCTGGGAGTCTTCGGGTGTGGGCATACCCACCGAGGTTGCCGGAGTTTCTGAGTCCATGCATGTGCTCGTGGTGCAGTTCGTAGACAGGGATCCGCCGTTGAAAGCTTCCTCGCAGATCTGACTGAGCTCATGAGACACATTGCGCGTGTCATCCCGCCACATGGCGATCTGGTCGCGGGATCTCCTGGGTTGGTGGCAAGGTTTGACCGTGACCCCTGCGCCTCGTACAACCGTCGGCTGGGCTGGCAACAGGGGGCTGCTGAACCGGTCCGAGAATGGGTCGAGGTCCACGTCGGATCTGAGACTCGACTCGCTTGTTTGACGCTTGATATCAGCTGGCATGGGTGGTGGAGTATCTTTCACCCGCGCAGTGGTTGATCCCTGCGACCGGTTACGGACGTGGTGGAAGGACACATTCCGCTTGTAGGTAGTCGAGCGACGCGTGTGAGAGGTGACGAGGCGCCGACGAGAACTGCACTGCGAAGTCTTTGACTGGAACGACTTCACGGAGTTGACCTTGGTCCTCTGGTTTTTCACCACCGAGAATGGTGAGCTTGGGGGGTTCTCCTCCTCTTCCTCTTCGGGACGCTCTTCGACAGTATTCGGCGGTTGAACTCCGTCCAGTGACTGGTGCTTCTTGCGGATCCCAGAAGGCTTCCTGTGGATAGTGACCTGGGCAACCTTGGGGACCTCGGGGTTCTCCGCGGTGATTCGGTATCGCGGAGACCGAAACGGGTCGTAGCTTTCCACAGTTGCAGACGACTTCAGATCCCGGGGAGTAGAGCCATGCCTCCTGTTGTTCCCTTTGATTTGCAATTCAGCTCTGCCCCGGGCAACGCTTGGGGGCCTATTGGGAGTGCGTCTAGAGCCGCGATGAGCGCCACGCGAGATGTGATGATAGTCACTAGCCGAATGCTCAAGGGGTTGACCCTGGTAGTTCTCTAGCTGTTCGTTTCGAAACCGGACTAAAGCGTTGTAGAACATGCGTTCGTACGATGGCCTGTTGCAAGAACGTCAATTCACGCCCAGGGGGCAGATGGTGGGTTAACTTACTCGCTACTGGTGAGCCTTTCAATTAGTGCGTCAGGATGAGCGTCGTGCCAGAGAACTTGGAGATTTCTCAGGATGTCAATATCAACATCGTGCGGACTTTTGACGATTGAACCACATTCATTTGTTGACAAGGGAGGAGGAGGACCGATGTAATGGTTTGCCATTGCCTGATGAAGCTTCTCGTACTTCTTCAGCAGCGGGTGACTCCACATCTCCTGTATACTAATGCGGTCTTCTGGCCTTTGCTGTAGAATGCGCCGGATGAGATCTGCGGCTTCATGGCTGAGCTCTGGCGGGATCCTGTAGACGCCCTTCTTCACTAGGCGCAGTGTCGAGCCTAGGTCGCGACCATCAAAGGGGAGATACCCGGTGAGGAGAGCATACAATATGATTCCGCAACTCCAGATGTCGGCCTGGTCCCCGCGGTACTTGCGGCCGTAGATGATCTCAGGCGCTGCATAATGTGGGCTTCCGCACGATGTGTTCAACCAATGCCCGGCCGGTTGGAGGGCTGCCATACCGAAGTCCGCCAACTTCACATTGTGCCACGCATCCAACAGAATATTCTCGGGTTTCAGATCACGGTGGCAGATGTTGAACCGATGACAGTAGCCGAGCCCGCCAATGATTTGTCTGAACAGTCGGACGGCCTCCTCCTCTGCCAGTGGTCCGTTGTTGGACACGTAGTCGAACAGCTCTCCGCCCTCGACGTATTCCAGAACAAGATACCTGGTATAGCATTAGAAACTTGAATCAAAGTATACATCTGTGTGACTTACAGCTCTCCTCGATTCTCCCACACATCATACAAGCTGATCACATTCGGATGTTCAATCAACTTCATAATCACCACCTCCCGTTCAATCCCCGACGGCATCGGGCGTGCACCAAGTCCATTATACTGGTACACACTCCGATCCATAGCAGCAATACTCTCACTCTGGGCTATGGCGGCAGATTTCTTCGAGACGATCTTAACCGCAGCCGTCTGCCCCGTCATCGCATGTTTAGCCAGCCTCACCCGACTAGTCGCTCCCCTGCCGAGGGTCTTGCCCAGCTGCCATGGCCCAACATGGGTCTTTCTCTTCCCCTTATTCGAGACGATGGACGCAGCCGATACGGTCGAGTTTCGGCTTGATCCAAACCGCGAGTCCGTTCCTGACGAACGACAGTTGTATTCCACGTTCCCTTTCGCCGACACCGGGCTGGTGACTATTGACATCGGCTCGGGGGAAGTCATCAGGGCGTCGTCTGTGCAGTACCCCTGCTCTGTGGTTGGCGTCATCTGGTGGTTGACTCTCTCCGTAGCATCGATAAGAGGTGTGCGCATCGTATAGGGGCTAGATCCAACCTGTTTCTCGTCCATTGCCAGCCAATCCACGCTAGCTCAACAGGAGTTTCTCAGATCACCACATATGGAGACTGATAATAATACTTCTCTTGATGAAGATCTGTAGAGTCACCCAGTAAGGCTTTGCTTAACACACTCTGGCTTCAATCAGTAGCGTGTAAAAAGCGACCAGTAGACGCGTGCACGGTGTCCAACAAGCTGGCCAACCTGTAAGCGTCCCAAGTAAACCAAGATACCACAACGTGTATTGCAAGATCGAAAACAAATTCAAGCGAGCGGCCAAGGTCGAATTAATCTTCTGTTGTATCCTTACCCAAACCAGCAATAAACCAGCATCAACCAAGTCGCAGAAGAACGTCGACGATTACTGACTGACTGGTAAACAAAAACGACTCATCAACCAACAACGGCAAGAATCAAAGGAAGAATCAGTCAAGAGCAGAGATGAGGGAGGCGATGGGAGCAGAGAAGCCAATTCCCTCCCGAGCATTCCCTAGACCGCATAGTCAACAAACGGCGTGGAATAACAGCGACGGCCCAAAACCCCGCTCGAGGCATGCCATGGTGAGGTCGAAGAGTGTGAGGAATGAGCAGGTTGAGCTGTTTGTTTTGTGCTGGATTCCTCTGATCTCCCCGGGTATCACGCTTTGGAATGCCCTTCGGCCGAGCAGAACTTTGTCTGTCTTAATTGTTTCTTCCACTGGGGATTAGGAATGAAAGAGTGAAGTGAAGAAGTGGTAAATAGATTTGATTACTGGTACCCATTGACCCATCCTATTGTTTGACGAGTTGCTGAGATACCTATCACTGGAAAACTGATACCATGATCAACTCAAGGGACAGTACGGTCTGACAACGTTACTCCTACCTGCTCCATGCATTACCGGTGGCAATTACACAGAAACAACGATTCCGTTAGAAAGGGGCATGACAAGGTGGTCCTATGGGCCGCCCTTTCGGCAGACTGAGTTTCCATACATACCCCCCCTTGTCTCAGTTGACGAATGGAGAGGAGGCCAACTGTCGCATTACTGAGGTCGTCGCCAATCGTCGCATTTTTATCCCCATTTCTCAGCCCTTCCTGGGAGAATCGCGGGATATGGTGCAGGCAGATATAGCTGGGATGGGCCCGGGCACCGGCAACACATTCCACGGTATAGATAAGAATGACTCGTGTGTTTTTCTTTTGCCGTTTCCATTAGGTTTATTTGTTTCGTCTTTCTGCAGCGATTGATGCTCAGGATCGTGTCTTGTTAGGTATCCTCACAGATCGTTCATACTTGATTGAACGCCCACAGCGTCAACCCAGACGTACCTGCATATCATGTCTAGATGCTGCATGCTAGCCAAGCCAACAACGTGCAAAAGATTATCTTAAAACTCAATAACCTCGCCTCCCAAGAAGCACATGCTAAATCTCTCTGCACGTACCCGTAACCGCAGCCCTTGCACCATATCCCCAGTCTACTAACTCACCAATGCTCCTCCCCAATCCCCACATCCTCAACATCAACCCCATCAACAAACCACCTCCCCACCCCATCCCCATCCACCCCAATTAGCACATCATTCCCGCTCATCATCCTCTTCCGCATCTTCCCCGTCTCCCTCTCAAATGTCCAATCCTCAAGCCCATAACACCTCTTCCACCGCATTCCATCCTCGGCGTCTTGATACTCATACCAGAACTGCACCGCGATGCGGTCATCGTTGAAGGAGAACAGCTCCTTGCGAAGTCTGTAGTTGCGCTCGCGCTTCCATTTAGCCGTCAGAAAGGCGGTGATCTCGTCTGTTCCGGTGAGGAATGAGGTGCGGTTGCGCCAGATGCTGGTGGGTGTGTAGGCTTGTGCGATACGACAGGGATCTCTGTGGGAGGGAGTAATGCGATTAGTGGATGTACATCTGTGCAGGGGTGGTGGGATCTTAGTGTGTAATGGAAGAACAAGGGAGAAAGAAGGGCGATTGTTGTGGCGCTTGGAACCCAGGGACAGTATTCTACACGAGGTAGGTGGCATTACGCTGGGTAGGTAAGGGGTGGTTCAAATGTGTATGCTGCAACCAGCCCATACGTATCCCCTTGAGAGAAAGAGCTTTTTTTTTGGAAGGCCAGTTTCTTTGCTCGTTGGGGACTATCACTGTATCCGGCTAGTGATCGCAAGGTGTAGAAAGGATACACAATACTAATGTTGGTACTCACTGTGTATTCCATAGATCCTGGGCGGCTTTCACCTTCTTCTTGGCAGTTTCTTCCGTGAAGGGTGGTTTGATATCGGCCATCTTGGTAGCTGCAGATCGGTCGACTTGTTTCTTAGTTTGACCTAACGTAGGTAATTTGTTGATGAGGGGTAATTGTAGGTCATCGATGCGTTCTACATGGATGGCTGTCACGTGATTGCGCAATCAATAGAATCTATGGCCGCTTGTAGCACTTGTAGTACTCCTGGTATATACTTTAATAGATGATAAGATAGTTCTTCTATTCTAGCCTGTTTCAATATAGATAAATTGAACAGTGACTAACCACCAGGCCATAACTTAGTGTGTTAGTAACTAAAGATATATATCTGATAGGACAAACCATAGCGGAAACGCATATAGAGTTATAGTCTGTTACTAACTACCCACAGCAAGTCATCGCATCATTGTGGATGATTCACCTGATGGATGTTCTACCTAGTGTTGGTACATCCAATAAAAGTTCAGACGAACGAATTTGATGCAATGGTCTTGTTGAGTAAGTCGTGTGTGTCACTGATGGTTGATATATATGGTAACTGCTGGTTTTATATACTACTAGCGAGACAAAGATAGCCAAAGGCATTGAGTATAGATTCTCGAGAATTACCACATGAATTTTGGATTTAATATGACTTGAATAAAACCAGCCATATCTTAGGCTATTCTGCCATATTAACCAAGACAATGCGTTCGTGTTTCGGCAATATCCCGTCCGAAGTACGCTTTCCGCTCCAACCTATCTCAAAACCAAGCACTAATCGAACAGACATAGATTCTATACCAAATACTATCCCACCTTCCTCTCGTCCCCCTCATCCGCCTATGTCGCGCTTCATCATGTCTCGCCGCCGTGGTCCAAGATTACGTCCAACATAGCATCCTCTGCCACCATGCTCCCAAATCGCCCTATAAACTGCAGCTCACCGTCTCCGAGCCGGCCCTCATGACCAAACACGATGATCTGGAGTTGACATACGCCGGCTGCCTGCCCCAAGCAGATTCCCTAGGGAGGGGGGCGGAGAAACGGGCTGAGCTGCGATCTGACTATAGTCGGTTTAAAGTGTGCAGTTCCCGGGGAATGGACAGCGGAAATAGAAGCCTGGACTGGCAGAGGAACGGGTTCAGCACTCTTATATGTCTCGATGAACTGGACTCGTTGTATCAGTTCCACACCAACATGTACTACCAGAGGCGCGGGCCTCGCAGCTCATTTTTCACAGGTGGTAAGGAAGATCTGAAGACTGTGCGGTTATGGAGGAATTGGCTGGGCAGTGAGGAAGAAGAAGAAGATGTGGAGCAGAGTCCGCGAGAGAAGGATCGGATTATCTGGACGGGATGCGCGCCTGATGCGATCGGGTTCACGGTCTCGGTGCAGCGACATACTCCGTCTGGGGAGGATGAGGCCGCACTGCAGCTTCCTTCGGTTGGGGGGTCCAGGGAGGCGTGCGAGTTCTACAAGGTGAGGATTGGGGAGGTGCTGGTTCGGAATTCCTACCTGTTGGCTTTGCGGGAGAATTTGGTCAATTGATTCTTTTTGAGGTTAGAGGCAATTTTCCAAAAGGTGATTGCTTTCCCTTGCATTATGGCTGAGTCTTGCATTTCCTGCCATGTTTCCTTTCCAATCTCGTCAATATGATACATACACCGACTAGGCTGAAAGCCCATGCACGGCAACAATATAGAAATACACGTGATACATTGTGTTGTTAAACACGATGTTGAATAAGAGATTACCTAAGTCAGTGTATTGTTTAGAAATTCCATCGATGACGATTTGGTCTGGCCGGGGCGGCTTTCTAATACCGCGCCATAAGCCAAGCAACACGGGCAATCTCGAAGAAGCCGATTGACTCAGCCGACCAATCTTTGTCATCCATCTTATCAGATCCTATTTTCACCAGGAGAATGTTGAATAAGAAGAAACGGTGATGATATGGTGGCACTCGAGTCCGGATGGCAAATGGTGAACCAAAGTTGGGATTGGGTTGAATCATGCAATTGGTTCACCCAACCAACGGGTGAAGGGGAACCTTTGAATAATTCATGGGAAATGCTCGGTTTGGGGATGAAGATTTGCATGGAAGGCACGTGCGTGGCAGTATTGCCGCCACGTATTACTGAGTGGAATCAATGCATCAATGCCCGGTCAAGAATCATGGGATTTGGTCGGTAATCGGAGTTCCATCACCGCCAGATCATCCCACCGTCCCTGTCTATGGAGGGGAGGGGTTAGGCGGTGAATCTTTATGCAGTGGACACTCCACCAACAAGGTGTCTTCATGCAGCCACGACTTGGCGTTGATTGGCTTGATATTGGTATTTCTGGACCGCCTTCTCGTCATGAAGATCCTTGAGTTGTCGCAACTCCGATATTCAGGGATAAGAACAGTCTATACCTTGCATAGAGACAGTATGCTACTTTCAAGGTGCTTCATGGTATAATCACCCTACTGGTTACAGGTTGGAAATAAGCAAAGACAAGACACTCAGCTCAGAAAAAGAATATGGAGAAGGACCTCATGTGAAGATCAGAGGAGTCACAATTGACTGGAACTGCCATGACCTCACCGGCCCAGAAAGCGATTTGTCAAGCCGTTCGGTCTAGATAGTTGAGCCGACGAATGGGATTCGGGATTGGGGTTTGGCGGGGCCTTTCCACTCCTCGGGTTAATAATTTCTACTTAGTCCTATACTGTAAGGATCGAAAAGGTTCGGTATCCTTCTTCTGGCCTTCTCCGATAGGAACCGTAAATAACAATCCCCTATCGGAGCCTATCGTAGCCGCCACTTGCCTGTCTGCCCGCCCCATATCATCCCACTTGAAATCTTTCAATCCTATATAACCTCCTCCCTCCTTCCCCTCCCCCACTCATCTCGTCTTCCATTCACTTATCTTCCACTCACCCACTTCTTCCTACACTTTTTATATCTCTTCTATCCCCTTTAAAACCACCCAATCTTCCAAAATGTCTGGCCTCAAGACCGGTGACAGCTTCCCCGCGGACACTGTCTTCTCGTAAGTTTTGTTCTCAACCATACCCTCTCTCCTGACATGTCTCCCCCGGTGTCGGTATACTGACCTCGTTCCCCCACAGCTACATCCCCTACAGCGAGGAGAAGGGCGAGATCACCGCCTGCGGTATCCCCATCAACTACAACGCCTCCAAGGAGTGGGCCAACAAGAAGGTCATCCTCTTCGCCCTCCCCGGTGCCTTCACTCCCGTCTGCTCCGCTCGTCACGTCCCCGAGTACCTTGAGCGTCTGCCCGAGATCCACGCCAAGGGTGTCGACGTTGTTGCCGTCCTCGCCTACAACGATGCCTACGTCATGAGCGCCTGGAGCAAGGCCAACGGTGTCAAGAACGACGACATCGTACGTCTTCTCTCTTCCTCTTCTGTTTATCACCCACACTAACACACCTGTAGCTCTTCCTGTCCGACCCTGATGCCAAGTTCTCCAAGAGCATCGGCTGGGCCGATGAGGAGGGCCGCACCAAGCGTTTCGCCATCGTCATCGACCACGGCAAGGTCACCTACGCCGCTCTCGAGCCCGCCAAGAACCACCTCGAGGTAAGACCCCCCGACTACTGTCTTAGACTACTGTCTTATGGAGTCAATGCTAACACGGAACAGTTCTCGAGCGCCGAGACCGTCATCAAGAACCTGTAAATGCAGGCCAACTTAAACATTAGATGTGACATGGATTTAAATAGACGGCGCTAAGATTCCCCTGGTGCAGTTAGTGACTTGCAAAGACGAGGACTCGCGTTAGAAATAGATTTCCCATTCAGAGGAAAAATACAAATCTCTTACGAAGGAATGAAAAAAAAAACCAAGACCAGCATACCTAGGTAGACAATATCGTAAAGTAGATAAAATGATCCCCAGGTACGATTGCAGTAAAAACTAACTTCGTCAATCCCACCACGGCTCCAAACGATCTACACTACCCTCGAACACTGTCTGGGCGACCGGGTATCATAATTGGTGCTTTGACACCGTGGTGTGACTTGGTATCGGCCCGGAAGGGTGACGGTGACGCGCTAAAGCCCAAGCCGTACAGGCATCGAGGGGCCCGTCTCCGGGTAAAATAAAAATCATTAAAAAAAAAAAGTTCCAGACCCCAACCAAACCCCATTAACCAAGCTTTTGGTCTCCCACGTCACGTCTCTGTTGTTATCTCTCTTTCTTATATCATTCTCACCCCGAATAAATTAACACCGGCCGAAATGGCCCCCAACCTCCCCCCCAAGCGCAAGCCCGACGCGCCGGGAAAGTCCTACGCCAACGATGGCTCCGCGGCCGCCCGCAAACGCGCCAAAACCTATGACGCCCGCTCGCTGGCGGTGCAGTCGGCCGACGCGGCGCTGTCCGCCTCCGGGGAGCTGGACGTCGCTGCTTATCTGGAGGCGCGGGAGTTCGAGATCCGGTCGCTGGAGTCGGGCATGCAGCGGTCGAAGGCCGCGTTGACGACGAGGGCGTTTCAGCAGGTGCCGCGGTCGTTGCGGAGGAGGACGGCTAGTCATAATGTGAAGAGGGTGCCGAGTCGGCTGAGGGCGAGGGCGAAGAAGGAGGTATGATTCTCTAATCTATCCTTATGTGCAGGTCTATTATACGGCACGTTCAGTGATACAATGTGTCTGAGTTGCTGACATCTCTCTTTTGATTTCTCCCAGATGGCCGAAGACAACACCCCAACAGTATCATTCCGCCGCCGCAAACCCACCGAACTCATGCGCATCCGCCTCGAAACCGCCCGCCGGCTCCAAAACCTAAACTCCAAAACGAAAGCCAAGCGCGCCGCGGCGAAAGCCCAGCGTGACAGCGAGACGCGCAAAGAACTCGCCTCAACCGGCAGCCACGCATTCGACATCGCGCCGCGCGTTCCCAAGATCAAGAAAAACAAGCTCTCGCGACCGCCGGCGCCGGAGTCCAAGTACAAGAAGCGCCAGCGGTGCAAGACGTGGCTGCCGACGCACATGTTCCACGCGAAAAGGGCGCATATGGCGACGTCGAAGGATCCGCTTTGGAGGTTTGCGCTGCCTTTGTCGCCGACGGAGAAGAGTTATAGGCCTTCTCATCGGGCGAGGGGCGCGAGGGGCGCTGTTGCGTGGGACATGAGTTATGTGGCTACGATTCAGATGGAGGGTGTTGAGGAGGGTTTGGAGCGTGCGTTGCGTGCTGTGGGGGTTGATGGGGATGATGCGTGGGGGGTGAAGGGGAGGAAGTGGAGGGCGGGTACGAGGAGCTTGAGGGCTTGGGTGTTTGAGAGTGGGGGGATGCAGAGACCGATTGCGCCGGTTACGCTGGTGCGGTGTGCGGAGGTCAAGTCTGAGGATGTGGAGATGGCTGATGCTGGTGCTGAGAAAGATGCGAAAGCCAAGGCCAAGAAGAAGGTCTTTCTCAGGGTCCATCCGTCTGCGTTCTTGCAGCTGTGGAACGAACTGCTGGAGGTTTCAAAGAAGCAGAACCCTCCTGTCATGGTGGAAGACCTGCGTTTCGAGATCGGCAGTATCGACATTACGGGCCCTGGGTCGACAGAGGCTTTGATCTCGGCTTTGAGACCGCTGGGAATGGACGGGAAGCAGGTCTCGACGGACAGCGTGGAAGCTACCTGGAGCTCTTTGCTAGGGGTGTCCAACCCTTCATCTCTCCCGCTCAACGCCCTGCTCGGTTTCTCTATATCTGATCCCCGCCTGCACTTCCCGCCCCAGAGCCTGAAACCACCGTCCGCCGACTCCGACATGCAGAACCTAGCCATCTTGCTATCCTCCTGGACACCCGATTGTACACAACAAACCCCCGCACTATTCGACCGTCGCACACGCCTAGCCGCAGCCCGCCAGCTTCCCAGCCAAAAAGCCATAAACCGGCGCCGCACCGAAGCAGGACCAGGCGAGCTTCCTACCCCCGTCGAATCCGACCCACGCATCCCAGTCATAGTTCTCGCCTCTCGGTCCACCGCCCAGTCTAAGAACAGCAACGCCCCAGGTTACTGGACCATCCTCCTCCCATGGAAGTGCGTCACTCCCGTATGGTACTCGCTCATGTACCACCCGCTCTCCAGCGGCGGCAATCCCCGGTTCGGCGGATTGAAGGAACAACAGCAGCTCGCATTCGAGGGCGGAGAACCTTGGTTCCCAGGCGACTTTCCCGGCACGCAAGCAGGCTGGGAATGGGGCCTCCGCCAGCGCGAAGAAGCTAAACAGGAGTGGGAGCGCCGGCCTAAAGGTCGACGGGTTGAGTTCGCGAGTCTGGATCTGGGGAATGGACAGAAGGGGGAAATCGGCCGTGGCTGGGCGTGTGATTGGGAAAAGCTCCTGCAAATCGCGTCGGGCTCTACCCCCGACGAGCAGAAGAACGATCAGAAGGCAGAAGCAGAGGCAGAGGCAGAGACCAACATCGAAAAAGACCTCCCAAGCACTGCCATCCCCCCACTGAACATCACCCAACTCCCCCCCACCAAAGCCACCCGCGCAATCCACGATCCATCCTCCACCCCCATCGACTCCTCCTCCCTCGCAACAGTGCGAGTATCCCTCCTCAACCGCGGCACCCCTACACCCCGAGCCCGCATCTACCGCCTGCCCACCACCAACACTGAGCTGCGCCAGCAGTGGCTCCAACTCGCCTCCAACCCCCCAAGAACCAGCCCCTCGCATCCGATGCCCAACAACGAAAACCAAGAAAACGAACGCTCGCGCCTTGCCGCATCCCTAATCACCCCTCTCCACCCTGAAGACACGCAGCAAACGCACCTGCCGCTCCCCACGGAAGAAGACCTGATTGGGTTCGTCACGACAGGTAACTATAACCTGTCTGAGGGTAAGGGGACGGGGATTGGCTCGATATTGGTGTCGAGGGTTGTGAGGGGGTCGGAGAATTTTCCGGCGAAGGCGAAGAAGAGTAGGGCGCGGGAGGTGAATATGTGTATTGTGAGGGCGGCGGGGGAGAGGGTTGGGAGGGTTGGGAGGTGGGAGGTTGTTTGATATGTGGATGGTGTGTTGGTTGATATAGCTGCTTGGGTAGATGCGTAGGGATTTGTGTGGTGGACGAGATGTTGGTTGGTGTTGTTGTTTAGTGATACCCTGTTAGATATTATATTTCTTTTCCTTTTACTTCATTTATTTCCTTCCTTCTTGAGTGTAGTCGTAGAAGTAGATGGGTCTCCGGCTCTGGTATAAATCATTAGTTATTAGCCTGCACGGCCGTTGTCTTCATGATTGAGGGTGTGATTGTATTCCTAAGAAAGAACTAGACAAGCGTTGAAAGAGACATACATACTGGACAACTGTAACCAGCGAGGACGATAGATAGAAATAGCTAACTGTACATATACACCCCAATAACATAGAAGAAATCGATATCTATCAGTGAATGCAGCCATCCGCTCACCCACCCACACACACACTCACACTACATGCTTACAATACATAACATAACTCAATCACACACAAAACACACACACAGCAACCTCAACCAACAACACGATCAACAAAGGCCTGCTCCATACGCGCAACCTCCTTCTTAAACCCCTCCACCTCCTTCCAGCAATCCAACGGCCGCCGATCATTCAACCGCAAGCAGCTGACAACATCCTCCTTAGCCTTCACAAGCCCATCATCCAGCTCCACGAGCTTCCTACGGCCCTCAAGTTTCGCCCGCAGCTGCTCCACATCCTCGTTCACCGAGTCCCGGGTCAAACCGCGGTTGATGGGCTGGCCCTGCGACGCAGCAGCAGCGGCGGTGTCAAAGGCGGGGGCGTCCGTCTCGCGGCCGGCGAAGGGGATGCGCGGGGCGTCCAGGTTCAGCGAGCCGGGCGGGTAGCTGTAAGTGGTGGTGGAGGATGACGGGGCGGCGGGGATGTTGTTCTCCGGGGCCTGGGCGATGCGTTTTTCGATCTCGGCGACAGTTTGCTGTTCGCGAGCGCGGATGCGTTCTAGTTCTTGGGAGACGCGCGCTTGAATTTGGAGTTCGAGGGATTTGGCGCGGGAGGAGTCGGTCTTTTTTTTTTTTTAATATGAGATATGTTAGTTGCTGATTTATTTGTTGTTGAGTGTGGAGGGAGGGTGGGTTACGCACCTCGCTGCTAGACTGGAGGGAGTCGACGAGGTTGGAGGAGAACTGGACGGGGGATCCACTGTTGAGATAGTTAGCATCGTTGCTTCGGTCTGTCTGACATTGTTGGTGTGCTTGAGAACACAGGCATCATGGCTAATGGAAGTGTTTTATGCTGCTTCGGTAGTCACCAAACAAGCATCCGAATCCAGCCGATTAAAACAGACAACATGCACACAGATCCTGTTCTTTCTAACATTGATCACGAAAAGCAAAAGCAACTCCACCAAAGACAAACCAGCAGAATTCAAGAAACCTACCTCGAGAAGATGTGCTTCGACCCGGCCGTAGCCTCGGGCTTCGAGCTGCCGGAGCCCATAATGTGCGGTCTATAGCAGAATTGAACGGTTTTCTCGACTTTTTTTGCCCGGCTCTTGCGGATCACCGATTCAGGCCTCGATCCGCTGACGTCTGGAAAGGAGTGCAAAAGCGCTATGCTGGGGGCAATTCCGAATTGTTCGGAGAGGGAAGGGTCGTCGAGCTGCGATGATAATGTTGCGAGCAGCCGACTTCCGCCGTGGTCACGTGAAATATGATTAGTCATTGGATGTTGGGCATGATCGTTATCGTCGTCATTGGAATTGCTTTACGATTTGCTATATGCACTGTTATTTTGTCCCAGTTGAGATGATGGATTCAAACTACCGCTGTTTCATGCAATAGACCTGGGCTAGTTTTGTCAGGAACGGTCAGAATAACTTAATGCTATTGTCACGTCATGTAATGTTTGAGAATCAAGATGACCGCCAGCCTATCACGCGCTTTATTAGAGAACCGATTATCCTCATAAGCCATCTTTGTTACTTGCATTTAAAGCCCTCAAGAGATTCTTCAATCCGTACAAACTCTTGGGACTAAAGCAAGAGCCCTGTGGCTATCAAAATCTTTAATACGATGTTCAACCAATCTCACAGTTCTGGATAACACTGGTCGGCATCTGATGTATAAATCTTCTGAACATGGCTGCCTATAGTTATACTCAAAAAAATACTGCAATATCTGCTACAGGACTTGAGAATGCAACATACAAGGCTGTCCCGCTGGTCGGCAGCAAACATGATAATGCCACCATTACACAGCTGCACAATCTTCGGATCTGTGCCACATTTACCTCTTCTCTCCGCTTCTTTTACATAAGTCTCGAATTTCTCATGTCGTGACCCGACTAAGCCTACGTCTACCGTACTCCGACCCGAACTATGAAGGCTTGCTCTTCTTGTGAAGAACCGCTGGTATAGCGCGTCTGACAATGTATCATGGTCTCCGGTTACGTTGACTGCGATATACATAGAGAGTAGCCGAGCTTTCTCTATCCCTCTGATATTACGATGTAGAGGTGAATTAGTTGTGGGTATCACAGAGGCGAACTTTCGCATGGCATGGCTTTGCGTGTTTGACCCCCTATCAACGTCCAAGATAAACAACGAGAGCTATAAGGTGCATTTAGTATAGAGTATCCAGAAAGACGCAGGTCAGCCGGCCTAGAAGATCAGCCTTATTCCAACGCATGATGCAGAATAGCCAACCCTAACCCTCTGCTATGACCGTCGACGAGTTCTCCGTGTCTTTATTAGATCAAACACCAATTGCAAGTAGAGAAAAGTCTTGGTAATGGGTCGCGTGCATATATATCTCTACCACGTCTTCATGCTGTTCTTATCCGGTCTAGTCAAAGTACATAGAAGAGCTGGATGTGCTCAGCTTTACAGAACACATGGTTTCGACCTTATGCTTTGACCAGCTTCGAGTCTTTCGTTTTGATATTGTGGTTTACTCGTAGATTCTGCTTTCTTCTAAAAGTTAATATTGATTTATATGGAGTAATATTAGTCTACTTAATGATTGACAATGGCTGCATTCTAGTTCGCGTAGCCGTTGGAGTCAACAATGAGAGAAGATAGGAGGACTCCACCACGGATATTCTGTATGGTCGTAAAATGGCTGTATGCATGTATGCATGTAATGCATTCTAGTAGCGTTTAATTAGTCAAAATTACCCCGTATTTAGTGTTGATGTTCAATTATCCCGACTTCCGTTCAGTTATCTCATATAAAGAAGGTACACAACAGACAATGGCTCTGTAAATACTGTCCCAGTCAGGTCATGGCATTCCAAGTCAATAAAGGAACGTTCTCGCTGTTTAAGATAAAAGATCTCTGAATTACATAAGATAGACCAATGTTGAAGCCAGATTAGCCCAAAACGGCGAAGGCCCAAAAAATGAAGGAATGCAAGCCGTGTCAGCAACATCATAAACTTTCCGTTCCCAGTAATGGGTAGTACTGTCCTCGAATACCTGGAAATTCTTCCTCAATGACACGCCAATCATAGACGAGAGGCAAAATTTTTCTGTTTGAAAGTCTGACCAGGCACTTGACCAGCTTCCAGAGTTACCTGATCCTAACCTTTGTTTCTCACCGGGTGACCATGGGTGAACAGAGACCCCCACATTTGTTACCCGGGCGTGGCGTCATGGACTCTAGAATACTTGAGCATTGGGTTCCTGATTTACGGAGAGACACATGTAAACGAATCGAATGGAATCAGTGACACGGATGTTGGACTATGACGAACAAGGAATCAATCATACCTTAGTCTACGGAACTGGTGCAGGACTCCAAGATTAATCAAATATTGCTCCGTCTTCCGCTTCATCGGCCGGTGAACCCGGTGTTCCCGTTGGTCTTGTCGGCCGACCCTGATCCTATTGGCAACTTTAGGCTGGTCCTTCGGGGCTGCGAACCCCACCAACTGGGCTCCCTTCCGACTGACCTCATTGACCCCTCCTCCGGTCTTTCTTCTAGTTTTCTTCGACAGCTTGGATCCCAGCAACCGCAATCTGTATCTTGCTTAGCCCCCCTTTCTATTTCTCCTTTATCTCTCATTCTGCGTCCCTCTTTTCTTTTATATTCTCCTCATACTCTTTAAGCGGGGCCTTTATCTGGTGTCAGATCTGTTTCCTTCCCCTCCGAGATCTCTCCTCCACCTACCCCACCATCTCCGTCTGCCTCTGATTCCAGCCGCTTCCAATGTCGTCCCCTCTCTTGGAAGAAGCTGCGCGGATCGCCAGTCAGTTCGAATATCCCGCCCATGAGGTCCAGCGTGGGGTCAAGGAATACATCCGGGAAATCGACGAGGGGTTGTCGCATGAGAACACCACGCTGAGCCAGATTCCGACATATGTGACCTCTGTTCCCAATGGCACCGAAAAGGTAGGGTATCTCCATGCGATCGCAAAGCTAACTCGTTGACAGGGCCTGTATCTGGCGGTCGACCTCGGTGGCACGAATTTCCGCGTCTGCTCCGTCGAGCTCCATGGCGACACCACATTTTCGCTCACCCAGACCAAAATCATGACACCCGGGGAACTGATGGCGTCGGGGTCGTCGAAGGATTTGTTTGTGTTCTTGGCCCGCCAGATCGAGTCGTTCTTGCGCATCCATCACAATGAACACTTCGAGGCGCACATGCGACGTCGCGGCACCGACCGACGCGAGGAGGGCGTGTTCGATCTGGGGTTCACTTTCAGCTTCCCTGTCCGCCAGGTCGGCATCAACAAGGGGACGCTCATTCGCTGGACGAAGGGCTTTAATATCCCAGACGCCGTGGGGCGTGATGTGTGCTCTCTATTGCAGAGTGCCCTGGATGAGCTGGAACTACCGGTGCGCGTGGCCGCGCTGGTCAATGACACGGTGGGAACCCTCATGGCGCGCTCGTATACCTCCCCAGGCGAGACCGGGACGTTCCTGGGTGCGATTTTCGGCACCGGCACCAACGGCGCCTATGTGGAGAAGCTCGAGCGGGTGACCAAGCTGGACAATATCGAGCACGCGGACTATGACAAGTCCACGGGTGAAATGATCATCAACG